AAAGGGAGGGAGAGAACAGAGTAAGTGGTAATATGTTTTGAAAGACAGGAAATTTATAAAAAAAACGTAATTAATGTTAGAGAAAGAAAAAGAGAGAGAGAGAGAGAGAGAGAGAGTGTGTGTGTGTGTGTGTGTTTGTGTGTATGTATGAACGTTTATTATAGCCTTTATATAGTTTTCTTTATTCTTTAAAGATATTGAGAGTCGAATTGGAAGGAAGGAAGAAGAAATAAATTATTCGAGAGTTAGAAAGTGAGATTGAAAGATAATTTTTTAAAGTAAAACTATTAGAGGAACTGTATTTTTTGAAGAAGAGAAAGACGAAGAGAAAGATTTTTTAAACAGGTAAAGTTATATACGTGGTAAATTTAAAAGATGAAAACTTAAATAATTTGGGACATTTTTATTAATGTTAACCATTAAAAAAGTATACATTTAATAAAGAGTAAAATATATTTATTTGAGATAGATTTGCGTAATTAATAAAATTAATAAAAGAAAGAAAGAGAGAGAAAAATAAACAGAGATAGAGAGAGAGAGAGAGTTATTACTTTTTTTTCTAAAATACTTTTTTAAAAATCTATATCTATAAAGAAAAGATATTTAACGGCAGGAAAAGGGCTAATAAATCTAAACCGATAAAATAAATATAACATATATTTTAAAATTTACTTTAAAGAAATCATAAATTATTATCTGTATTATTTTAAGCAATGAAACTGGATATAGATATAGATAGATTAATTTGTGAATTTCTATTCCTTTAATTATTATGTTTCAACATACTATATTTAATTCAGTAACTTACTATCATAACAACATAATATTGAAAATCATGAAATTATTACGTTTTAATAAGAAAGTTATTTTGTTGATACCTAGCCATTGCTGGTTGGTGCACCTAGAGGGTATTTCGTTTGTGAATTTTTATTTATGTAAATATTATGATTCAACATACTATATTTAATTATTAGAATTGTTGTCATAGCTTAACATAATATTTACATTCCTGAAATTATTATGTTTTAATAATCGTTATCTGTTTAATTTAGACAGACAGAAAGAGAAAGAGAGAAAGAGAAAGACAGAGAGAGAGAGAGAGAGAGAGGGAGAAAGAGAAAGAGAGAGAAGGAGAAAACTGTAAAGTATCTTTTACGTTAATTTCGTGTTTGCAGTTAATCAGGTAATTAGTTAGTTTCTAATAAAGAAGGAAAGGCAATAGTATCGATTTAGATTTATTGACCCTTTTCCTGCCGTTAAATATCTTTCCTTTATAGATATAGATTTAAGGAAAAATAATTTAATTTTTAAGAGCGCTTTTGTCACTTTTAATTATTTAATTTTTGAGAACGCTTTGTCACTTTTAATTAAATCGGGATGGCAATCGATTTTTTAAATGTTAATGGGGAGATGGTACCTTACACTATTGTCCCCATTATAGGGGATGGAGCCTGCCTTTTCCGGGCCCTCTCCTATCTCATGTATAACACACAGTTAATGGCGAGGGATGTGCGTGAGATAATCGTGAGTCATGTGGTGGATAATTGGGAGGAATTTTCAATTATGTCCCACGACAGCTTGGGGAACAATTACAATAGTTCTAGCGAGTATCTCGATGAAATGTCGAAACCCTTTACTTATGGTGGTTTATGCGAGTTGGTGGCAGCTGGGCAACTTTTCGGGTTTGTTTTTGAGGTTTACCGTAATGGTAAGCTCTATGAGAGTTTCGGTGAGGAAGGTAACCCTGTTAGGAGAATACGTTTCACACAAAATATTTCTAAGGGACATTTTGATGCGTACGAACAACGTAAACCTGATGAAGAGAACAACAAACCGTCCTTCTCTCAGCCTGACTCAAACTCACACCTCTCAAAGCACATACTTATTCCTATTCCTAATGAGGCTCATGTAAAACGACGAAAGAGATACACTAATGTCAAAAGGAGGAAGCAACTTATAAATGCGTCCAAAAAATATGCACAGAATAACCCTGAGGTGCACAGAACAGCAGTGACTAGGTACCAACAAAAAAATCCAGAAATG